GAGGCCTGAAATAAAACAGCACAAAGGAAGAATAACAGCCACTCGTGCACGGGCTCAGGTCGCGCTAAAGCACTCGGGCGCTGGCTGCCGTCGGAGACTGCGCTGAAAGAAAACTGCAATTAAGAGAGACACACAAAAAAAAGAAAGAAAAGAGGGGAAAAAAGGACAAAGAAAGAAAATCGGTGTGTTAGGAGGATTTCCACTGAGCAGAAATAAAAGTGTTCTGATTGTCAGGGGAAAGCTAGCAATGCACTGAAATGAAGAGGAATGGCAAGGGAAACTGAAAAGTGGGCTGATCGGACTAGTCATTTGCATAATTCTGACACATAAGATTCAAGGCTCAGGCAAATTACAATAATTATGAGTACAACAGATAACCATGACTCAGCAAATTCCATAAGAAGGGAAGGGCAGGTCAGTCACAGCACTGTTCGGATTCCCTCTCGGTACCTTTAGGAAAAATGGTGGTCATTTTCAAAAGAACAAAATATTGAAATACACACTTTACATTCTGTCTGTACAGTGCTAAAACAGGAAGTGGGTGTTGCACCCGCCTCTCAGGTTTGCCCCGAATATGAGACGTGCATTTTCATAATGCTGTCACTGCAAGCACAAAGGTGAGCTAATTACAGTGCTCCAGCTGTGCTGAACGATTTTATATATCCTAAGCCATTCCATCTCCTCGGCGACTGTAACTCGGTTTCACGATGGCTAGTGTAACATTAGCCATCTAGATACATTTCAAGCCATTGTTCACTGTTAGCTAAAAGGCTATTTAATTTTTACCTAGCTAGAAAAAAATGCTAGCTAGCATATTATTAGCAAGACAACAAAAAAAGCTGGCTAACTTTAGCAATTTTTTTTTTTATTAAAAAGCATTTCAATTCAACAGGTAAGACTGTGTGATAATGTTTGCGCTTCATGTTAAAAGCTGTGGTAGCGTCCACCAGTCACGAAGGAACGCTTGCTTTTTCTGAGGGAGTTGCACAAAATGGATCACACAGAACACACACCACACAGATGGCAGTGTATCAACAAATCAGCAGTTAGCAAAACATTTTACACACAAGCAGTAGCAGTGAGTCAAGGTGACTGGATACTCAGTTGGTTTCTTCCTGATGTAGACAGGGTTAGACAGACAGACAGACTTTTCCACCTCTATTCACAAATGCTTTATTGCATCTTCAGAAACAATCTGTGTTAACGATTTTATTTTTAATCTTCATGTTGTTAGACTAAAAGAGAGGGGCAGGATTAAACAGACAGGATGATAGTTCCTGAGAGAGACAAAATATCAGACTTCCCCTCTTTTCAGGATGGTTTGTTCCAGGTTCACATACACAGATATGTAGGTTTACTGACAAAGTATCAAGGGAGTTCTCTCGTTTATTTGAGAATGGTTTGTTCCAGTTTCAACTTGATTTAGTGCTACTAGACACTTCTCAATGGCCTGGATGAATACACACACACACACACACACACACACACACACACACACACACACACACACACACACACACACACACACAAGCACAGTACCTGCAACAAGGCCTGTGGTGATGTACATCTGAGTGATGGATGTGGTGAAGGCGGTGGTGATGGTACCCAAACTGATCAGGACACCCCCGACCATCACAACCGGCTGAAATCCAAAGCGGTTACTCAGCACTGAGGAGAGAGGAGCTGGAGACAGACAGACACACACACACACACACACACACACACACACACACACACACACACACACATACGCCCCATTAACTCAAAGATCGAGAGCTCTTCTGGCGATGTTACAAAGAAATATGAACTTTAATTCATGAATGAAAGGCAAAGTGATGACAAAGCATATAATGCATATAACTGCGAGGGCGAGCTTCAGACCCGCCCTTCTGAGTCATTAGCCATGCTGTTTACACAGTATAAAAAGCGGCGCCGTTCAGCTGGAAGAAATGTTTACATGTGCCACGAACCATGATGCAGTGTATTGCGTTACTGTTCGTTCCAGGCTCCGAGTGTTCACCTCAATGACTTTTGCTTTAAGCTCAGGGCAGAGTGATAACACCTGCATACACCAGGCTCACCAGAGGCTCGACAAACACACACTGCTTTGCCATAATGGCTCACAGGAGACTGCAGTGATGCACACATGGCTGCTGATCGCATGCAGTCTTTAGAAGCGATTCCTTACACAGAAAGCTCTTTCTATAATAACCCACTTCCAAAGGTGCTTCTGCTCATAATGAGAGAAATGAGTCTCAGTGCAGATGAGTGCTTGTGCTCTAATACAGTTGGATAAATGTGCTCAAAGTAACAGGAGGAAGCGAGAATTGCAATATTTCTGGTCCTGCAATTTCTCAAATCCAGATTTATAAAATTGTCATCCCTCCTAAAATAAATAACTAAAATGTTTTTCCCCAAAACAGATTCCTAATTTGTTACTTTCCTAAAAAAGACTCCTATTTTTTCCTACTGAGTCTTAAAAACTTTTTTTTCCCCAAAAAACTGATTCTCAAAATTCTGCTTTTTTCTTAAAATTGATTCTTAAAATGTAATTCCTTAGAAATTTTTTTACCTAACTCTAATTCTTAATTTTTTTTTTTCCATAAAACTGATTCTTTAAAATCTACAACTTTCCTTAAAATGTATTCCTAAAAAACCCCAAATTTTCTCTAAATGTTTTTTCTACAAAAACAAAGTATTTTATATTTTTTTAATGGATGCCTAATTTATTCCTTTTTGTCCTAAAACAGATTCATTAGCTGTTTGATATATTGCTTAAAACTGTTATATTTTCCCCAAAAGGGTTCTTCAATTATTTTATTTTTTTAAATCATATTCCTAAACTTTTTTTTTTCCTTTACTGTTTAATTTTCCCCAGATTCAAAAAATCAGTTTTTCAATAAAAATATTAAAACATTGAAAAATTGATTTTTTTTAATGACAGATTCCAAATAATTATTTTTTTCTTGAAGAAGACATCTCAAACATTTGTTCCTGAAACAGATCCTCCATCCAGGTCCTCCATACAGAAGCACGATTTTCCTAAAACAGATTATTGATTGATCTCATGAGGGGCGTCTAACCTGTGAAGGACATGATGAAGACACAGATGGAGATGATCCAGGACACGCGGCTGTTTGTCTCTCCGAAATGGTTGGTGAGGTCCTGCAGGAAGATGCC